AAATCCTCCAAGCACCCCCACATTTTAAGTACTCTAAGAAAAATTAATTTCCTTGTTAAGATATTACCACACGAAAATATCAATACATCTCCACAATTTTGATACAAATTAGAATAATAACATTCATCACTTATTAACTACGGTGTGCTTGAATAATAAAATTCTAAATCAAATTCATGAAATAGAAAACTTAGAATAATTATGACTATACAAGTCAAAATTAATGCTGAAACAAAATTATAGTTTCATAAAGATTTGGCCCAAGAATCAAACAATTCAAAAACTTCATTTAATGGCATAAATCTTACAATGCATTCGAATTTCTGTAGGTAACTTGTCATGAATCAAGATTAGCAAACAACTATGCTTCCCTCCCCCATATTTGTTGTAATACATAAATTAGCACAAACAACATGACTCATTCACGAACAAGTATCACTGTCACAAAAATATTTGTGACAAAAGAAAATTGAATTATCTCTTATAATTCAACGATAAACTCCCGCCAAGAGTAATCTTTATTTACTCTTAAACCATAGTTTCCATGCGAAGTGTTTAAATAGGCATTTATCCTTTCAAATAACCGGATACCCACTTTAACAAATAAACAAACTATTCTCAATAAGTTTGAGAAATTAAAAATTGTGGGACTTAAACAATCAGATACTTTAGATATGAAGAACTACCACTTTCTTATATCTCAAGTTTCATGACTTGCATTTGTATTTGTTTTGAGTCATAAATTGGCCAACCAATATGACACTTTCATTCAAATACAACTGACATAAATTAGAAATTCTAACTTAATTACATTCAGAAAATTTTTCCAAGTATATAATTTATACTCCATGTTTTCTCAAGTTTCAAGAGTTCACAAAAAATCATACCTATTTTGAAAATACATTCTTAAAACTTTCACAAAATATATTTCAAATATTTTGTGCCTTTTCTTAAAATCCAAAACAATGATTTAAGTTTAATTTTTGATCTTGCGGACTTTTAATTTTAAATTCATACCATAAATTTAAGCAGATGCAACCAACAGACCCAACCCATCCAAAAGATTATTTTGGACTGACTTGTGCCCACAACTGAACTATAGTAAAGGGAACAATGAAAACGGTGGAAGTTGAAAAATCGGTGAGTTCGAAAAATAACTATTTGTTCCATATTCTTCATTGTTGCACGTGATTAAACAAATCAATCATTATGATCACCATACATAAATATTGTGACTAACTTGGGAGAACAAGTTATGATAATTAAGGTATGGAAAACTCTCCCATGGTCTTTAAAACTAGTGCCGAAAAGCACTATGATGGGCTTTTGAAGATGTGTGAAAACATCAAAACTCATAATCATGATTTTTGGACAAAAAATTAAATTGTCACCGAATTAAATCAATTTCCTTCAGTCACAATGTAGTGAGTATATGCGGGAAAATTCATCACCCTGCCTTCTTTTCGTTCTAATGGAATTCAATTTGTGAAGAAACCCGCAGAATTTTTGTGCCATAAACTTTGCAAAACACAGAATGTAAAAGTAATAGTATACAAAACGTGATGGCTATTACTTTGACTATCAAAACTAAAGATTCCAATTTACATATTGATATTAAAAAAAAAAAAAATCTCAACAGCAATCAATACTCATCTGAATCATTAAAAAAGATTTAGATTTTCCAAATAAGAAAATTTTCTCAAGTTTTCCTTTTCCAACTTCCAGTTATGAAAAGATCATGCATATCAACTTTCAGATATATACACAAACATATAGCCTAACTATATAAATAGTTTTAATAAAACATTCAAACAAATCAAATTAACAATATCCTACATTTCTTGCAAAATTTAAAGTTTCAGGTACATTGATAATATAAACAACAATATTACGTGTTTCACAAATAACATGCAAAATGCAACAGAAATTATAGTTGAACCAAGCTCTGGTCACTGAACATTGAAAGTCACAAAGATCTTATTTTCTTAATTATACCTCATTGATTGTAAACATATACAAACAACAATTAAATTTATCATGCAATAGAATTCTACTTAAACACAACTTTGGATAAAAAATTACCAATCATATTCATCAATTCTATTACCAGAGAAAATATGTAGTAACAATACTCAAGTTTTACCAAAAACAGGAAATAAATTTTGCAGGAAACCAAATTTGCAAAAAATTAATTTTTTTAACGGAAAAAAATACTAATTTGTATCATAGAATTTGAACCTGTAAATAGATTAAAGTTCTGTCTTAAAATTGTAGGAAAATATTTTTGGAAAAATCAATTTAATGCAAATAAATAATAAAATAAAACACAAGAAATTTCTTATAGAAATTCTGTAAATTTAATATAGATTGTGACTGAAGTCAGTGTTTGAACACTGTGTTTTTAAGATAAAATTTCGCCCTCGCCTCTAGTGCTTGCGATTGATGGGCATCCTGCTTCCAAGATACAACGATCACCCCACACAGAAATTGCACAACTTTCTATGTATATAGCAAACTAATTTGTGTTATGCACTCTCTTTTTTATACTTGACTATGACTTGGGTATGAATTCTAACACTTACCTTTTCAAATGAATGTCATGAGAATGATATTTATAAAAATATTTGTAACCATTCATAAGAATCATGACTCTAAAGTTACACCCTTTCATATGAAAATACACCATGATTGCTTCATCCGCTGTTCAAATATTGGAAGAAAATGAATCTTGTGAGGTTGAATCAATGGAATGATGTTTTTCAATTCGTATTTTTTTACTTTTAATGAATTTTTTAATATATCTAATTTAGATGTATTTAAAAATTCAATAAATATAAAAAAATGTATTATTTCATTATTTTATATTTAGTGAATTTTAAAAAGTTAAAAATTTTATAACTTTTAAATATATAGGCCTCATTTGGGGAGTAACTTTTTTGGTTAAAAAGTTAAAATGTTATTATAAGTTATCATATTACTCTCTCTATTTTTCTGCACATCTTTTTATAAAAAGTAAAAAAATTACTAAAATAGTTTGTTCTAAAATGAAACCTTAAATTAAGTGAATCTAACAATAAAATAAAATAATTGTTTCAAATATTAAAAAAATTTACTAGAAGTTTGCATTAGTAGGATGTGATGTTTGCTTCAATATTATCACAAGATAACCTAGCAAATGTTAACGTAGAGGCCGGGTTGACGCTATATATTAAGAATATATATGTCATTTTAAGTTTGGCTTAGATTAACATTGGACATAAACAGTCATCTCAAATTTGACTCTAAAAAATTTTCAAAATTTAAGCCTACCCACTCAACCCACTATTATTTTTTATTTTTTATTTTTTAAAATTTGTCTTGAATATATATTAAATTATTTAGATCATTTTATTTATTATTTAACGTGACTCAAAAAAATTAAAAAAATTAATTGTTAGCCAAAATTTCAAAATAAACAATCTATTAAAATATTTAAAACAATTCTCTCTATATGTTCTATAATAATCAATCAAAAAGCCTTACGTACCTTACATGCTGGGGCCATTACGTCCATCAAAGCCAAGACCAGGAGTCGTTGAATATCTCTCCCCTTGGGAAAATGCCCAGAAGGTCATATACTTTTCTTCTGGAAAACAATTGCTCTGCTTTCTTACAAAATTATAATCATTATATAATTGCAAATGACCTGATCTGTATTAACCCACAACAACATGCCTCTTCTTAGCATGCCGCCTCTTTCTGTTAATCTCATCATCATCATCTTCTTGTTCATCGTCAGTAGTCCAACATCACATGGCGCCGACAATGAAAATTACACGACTTGCCACCAAAAAAAATACGACTGCGGAGGGCAAATAAAAGGAATTGGATATCCCTTCTGGGGAGAAGATCGACCTCCGTTCTGCGGCGTTCAAGGTTTTGAGCTCACGTGCTATGGCAATGAAAGCACAACCATAGTTATCCAAAACCAGACTTTTCATGTTCTTCGTATCAATCAATCTGCCAATAACATGACCATTGCTCGAGCCGATCTGTGGCATAATCTTTGCCCTGTGGAATTCAGTGACACGACTTTGAATTTCACTCTTTTTGATTTCGGTCCACATCCGCATGTTCTAAATCTTACTTTGCTCTATGGTTGCGTCCCTAACGCATCTTATAATTCAACATAATTTATATTGTGCACACAGTATAAATTTTAGATTTTTTTGGAGTCATACACAGTATAAATCATATACACATTATACTGTCTATATTATATTGTGCACACAGTATATGTAGCACCACAGAAAACCTCCTACAATCATAAACCTATCTAAGAAGCATTACGACAAACACCTTAGCTACCAAAATTAGAAATTTACTTCCTAAAGCCCCCTTATAAAATGGCTTCACCACACATCAACTACAAAGAATTCAACAGAAACAACAAAAACATGAAAGCACAAAATATATATATATATATATATTGTATCCAAGAATTGGGTTTTTAGAAGGCAATAGCACAACATAAAATGGGAACAAATCTTGAGAAAAGAAAATTAATTTTTTAAAGCAAAAAAACAAAGCACAACCATCTGACCACAAATTTCAGAGATTCAACCACAAATTTCAAAGATCCATTAGAAACACTAAAACAAGGAAAGGAAAAAAAAAATCCACAGATTCCACTGGCTTAATCCTGTCTGCTCTCCTTGACAATCATCTTGCCTGAGGTTGTTTGTGCACTTCCAAAAGAAAAAACAATATAAGAAACAAAATGAACTGAGAGCATTTATTTAGTTGATTCTGCATTTCTATAAGCTGAATCTCAAAAGACAAACAAAATCATCAATCTACCTCCAACATTTTATTCATGAATCTGAAATCAACCAAACAAAAAACATTACCAAAGAATATCAAAGAGAGGAGAAAACACAGAGCACACTCACAGAACAAAGGTAGAGAAGAGAAGATCCACGACCAAAGAGAAGGAAGAGAAGAAGAGAAGAAAAGAATACCTTCAAATCAATGTTTCGATCGCTGCTCGCCGCTATTGTCGCCGATCGCCGATCGTCGCTAGCCACCATTGTCGCCGATTACCACTCGTCACTCATCTTTGTTCAAGTGTGTGTGAGAGAGAGAGAGAGAGAGAGAGTTGAGAGAGACAGAGACATGTTGAAGAACCTAGGGCTACAAAACGTGAAATGAAAATAAAAAAGAGGCAACACGGGGGAAAAGGGGGAAAATAAGTGAGGGCGCGGGCGGGTCGGGTGAGCAGATAAAATTGGTGGTTTACCCGCGACCCGACCCGACCCGAATCCAAGAAAATGAAAAATATAGACCCGTATCCGTCCGTCACATGTCACGCATCCACCAAAACTCAGCGGGCCGGACCAGGCCGGGTGTGACGGGCCGGGCCGAGCCGGGTGTGGCGGGCCGAGCCATCCGTTGCACACCCCTACTTGGCCTTATTAAGAGAGGAATGGATCCTATTTATTATTATTTTAAAGTTAGATTTGTTTGGGTAAACTAGATAATATTGCAAATTATTAAATACTCAAATTTCACTCTAATAATTTTTAGGGAAATTATATAATACTCTCAGAACATCACGTAATCATATTCCAAGTCAAGCATCAATTACTTAGAGCTCATATTGTTCTTCCATCCCCAATATAAATTGTGAGCCACTATTTCTTTCTACCAATCAAAACCTTATGGAGTATTACATGTCCATACTCTGGATGTACTGAATAATTACCCTAATTTTTATAGTCTTCATATAGGGTCACACTTTTTGTTTATTTTTTAAGAATATGTATCCGAACATCTATATAAAATATTAAGATTGGTTCAATATTCTTTATCATGTGATTTTATTAAATTTGTGTTGTAAAAATGGACTATGAATCAAGTACAACTTTTATCAAATTTTTTATGGTACAAGAAAAGTGGTTTATTTTTATTTACTATTTTTTTTATTTTATTTTATAATTCTATTCTCAACCTTTAGATTTTGATTTAATGAATAAAATTATACAGCAAATAAGGTTGTTTCCCATTTGCATGCAGGGTGTCCTAGATGATGGAAATTTGTTATTAGTCAATGTCACAGAGACCAAAAATATATACAGAGAAACCTATGTTTTTGGACAAAATTGAAAGTCTCTCTCTCTCTACATACAATAGCTCTTCTACTAACAGTACCTAAAGGCCAAAAATAAAAAATACTAACAGTAACTAAAATTACCAATTTGAAAACGAATAAATACTACCCATTGCTTTCTTCATTTATTTATTTACTTATAGAGAGAGGAATCGATCCCAACAGTTTTCATGTCTGATACATTGCGTTTCTCGTCACTCTGCGCAAATAATGTATTCTAGCTATGCAAGGAAAGGAAATAATTTAATTATTATAGTAGAGAAAATGTGCATCGGATAATACTTGAAGCCATCTGGTTCACTTGAATAGTTTCAGTTTTGGAAATTGACGTAGTTTGGTTAATCTATCGGACTTATGTAATTTTTTTTTTGTCTTCACATCATTATCATGTGAGAAGCATGATCCTGATAGAGTTTTGATTGTAAAACTTGTTTACATTTTGATATAAACTTTTGGACATTACATCTCTACCGTCAGAGGCATGACCCCTGTGGCTTGTAACAAACTGTAATGCACTAAGCAGGTGTGCAATTAGAGGGAACCATAACTCATTTGGTGTCCAGTAGTCTTATATGAATTCAACTTTAGTTAATTTCATATAATATTTAGAAGGAAAAATATATGAAATTCTTTGGAGGAGCAGTGGGCACATTTGAATGTTTAATTCATGAAAAACAATTTCTTTCAAGAAGATATTGACGGGTGTGGACTGACTTGGGCCATGAATAAGCTGTTTGTACCTGCTGATTGTGGTATTTATTCCTTCATGATCGATTCATACATTATGGAGTCTATGGAGACGATTTAATGACCTCAAACAATTTTAACCTATTACTTGTTACTGATCCTGACTTCTAGTTGATACTTAGTGATGTAAATTTCCAACCCACGGCCTTGGGATCTAGTTGATTGAGTTTTAGCTACAATCTTGCATGTATGGCTGACTTAGTGACAACCTTGTAAAATTGTTATATGTTTACCCAGTCAAAGCCCACCCAATCAAAACATCTCTCTCTACTACCCTTTACAATTCAACTTATGTGAATCACATACCCATTTCAATCCAGCAATTTCACAGGTGCCTTCCCAATCATTTCCTTTTTTTAAAAAAAAAAAAATTATAATAACTAATCCCAAAAAAAACCAATTTGTTCAAAGCTGATAATTGCAGTAATAGTATTTAATCTCTGTTTTGCTTCAAATGAAAAGCTTCGCATATTCATATTGTTGTTTGAGTATAATAGCCCTGTTTGGTAGAGCTGTGGGAAAGTGCTTATAGCTTATGCCTAAACAGCTTATAGCTTATAACTATGAACATAAGCTGATTTCTGACTTATTCTTAAAGCACCTCCTGTCCCACTCAAAGAATAAACTGATTTCTAACTTCCAAAAAACTATAAGCTATAAGCTATAAGCTATAAGCTATAAGCTAAACCAAACACATCAAAATAGCTTAAATTAAGCTGAAAGCTAAAATAAGCTGATTATAATTTCTGCCAAACAGGCACAATGTCTGGATTGAACTGATTAATCTATGGGATTGAAAAATGTATGGTATAATGTAATGCTCTTTATTTTCTTCCAATTTTGTGTATATTTTTTTTTTTCAAACTCCCTGTTTATATGTTTTACAGCCTAAATCATGGTTTTAAAGATCAGAAATGTTTGGTCCACACAATTTCTTCCCTCCATTCCAGAATGACCTGGCCTCTAAATTTCAAAACTGACCCAGGCTCAAGTGTAAGAAGAGAGCCTAGGTCAGTTTTGAAATTTGGTTGAGCCTGGGTCAGTTTTGAAATTTGGAGGCCAGGTCATTCCGGAATGGAGGGAAGAAATTGTGTGGACCAAGCATTTTTGCTCTTTAAAACCATGATTTAGGCTGTAAAACATAGAAACAGAAAGTTTGAAAGAAAATATGTACACAAAACTAGAAGAAAATAAGGAGCATTACATTATACCATACATTTTTCAATCCCATAGATTAATCAGTTCAATCCAGACATTATACTCAAACAACAATATGAATATGCGAAGCCTTTCATTTGAAGCAAAACAGAGATTAAATACTATTACTGCAATTATCAGCTTTGAACAAGTTGGGGTTTTTTTTTGGGGGGGTTTTTTTTGGATTAGTTATTATAAAAAAAAAATTAAAAAAAAAGGAAATGATTAGGAAGTCACCAGTGAAATTGCTGGATTGAAATGGGTATGTGATTCACATGAGTTGAATTGTAAAGGGTAGAGAGAGATGTTTTGATTAGGTGGGGCTTTGACAGGGTAAAGATAAACTGAAAGGTTTTTGCTTTAGTTTGGTTTTGGTTTGAAGGAAGAAAACAAAGGAAGTTAGGAAAATCCAATTTCATCTATGGAAACTTCTACATGATTCAACAAACTAAAAACTTGAACAATTTTCAATAAAAAAAACTCTCTTCTCAATTTTTTTTTTTTTAAAAAATCTCAATTTTTCATGTACCTGAAACTCGGCGGTGGGAGAGTTGCAAGTGCTCCGGCCGAAGGAAGAGGTGGTCTTCTTTGTCCAAGGTCGCGGCCAGAGGGAGAGGATAGGTACGGAAGTGGGTACGAACGAGCAAGGTTGCTCTTCACTCGCTGGCAATGGCGGTATGCTGCTGCGAACGAACAAGGTTGCTCTTCGCTTACTTGCTAGTAATAGCGGTCCGCAGCTGCAAACGAGCAAGGTTGCTCTTCACTTCACTTGCTGGCAATGGTGATACGAAGCTGCGAACGAGCAAGGTTGCTCTTCACTTCACTCGCTGGCAATGGCAGTACGCAGCTGCGAACAAGCAAGGTTGCTCTTCACTCGCTAGCAATGGCGGTACGCAGCTACGAACGAGCAAGGTTGCTCTTCACTTGACTCGCTGGCAATGGCGGTACGCGGCTGCGAACGAGCAAGGTCGCTCTTCACTCGCTGGCAATGGCGGTTGTTCGGTAGCCGCCGATGACGTCTCCCTACTTCGTCTTCTCTGCCTCTTCGTCCCTCCTTCTCTTCTCTCTTTCGTTTTTCGCTTCTTTCTCTCTCTCCCTCCCTCACAGCCGTTAGCGTTAAAAGTCTTGCCTATTTTTTCTAGAAATAATTTTTTTTCAAAGCAATACATAGAAAAGTAAAAATAAACAGAGATGAATTTGGCAAAGTAAATTGAACAGAGAAAAAAAAATAAAACGAAAGGTAAGGGCTGAAATTATACAAAAACGGAAATTTCATCTGGAGCAATACATAGAAAGAAAAGGAAAAAGAATAAATAGAGAAATAAATAAAAGAAACGGAGACGGCTAAAATTACACAAAAAGGGAAATTTTGTTTAGAAGCAACTTATAATAGCTAAATGCCTATAACGAAATGTTTTCAAATATGGAGGGAGAGTGAAATGGATTCTGGACCGTTAGAAGAAGAAAAAGTAAGTTATATGTGATGCACCAAAAAGGAGTTGGCTTCCCTCCAGTCCATGTCGGTCCAGGCCGTATCAAATTAGAAGGTACTGTTGAGTTTGTGAAAGTTTATTACGGGTCTCGTTTTAATAATTTGAACCGTTCAATGTGTTAAAATCATCGAGTACTATATGTCTGTGAAAAAATTATGTTGATCGGATATCGATAATTATGTGATCAAATCAGTTTTGTATTAAAAAAAAATGTGAAAAAATAAATAGTTGACAGAAATCTGATCTGATTAGATAGCTATTAATATCCGATCACAGTGATTTTTTACAGCATATAGTACTCGGTAAGTTCTATACATTGAATAGTTTGGATTATCGAAATGAGACCCATAGTGAGTTTCACAAGTCTAATAGTACTCTCTAGTCCGATCACAGACTGGGGAAGCCCAGCCCCACCAAAAAAGAGTTATGTGATACTAGTACTACACAGTGTTTTCTTCATTTATTTATTTACTTAGGAGTTGTTTGGGATGACCTAAATAAGTATATTTTTTATCTTTTTATGAAAAGATGTGCAAAAAAGTAGAGAGGTGATGTGATGAAAAAAAGATAAAAAGATGAATTATTTTTGAGTTGCCAAACTTGGCCTTGGGGTGGGCACGGGTCGATTGCAGCCACGGAACCTCCAATCTGCCATCCGTCCACCAGTTTGGCGGATTGGAGAAAATCAATCCGCATCCGTCCGCCAATCCGGCGGATGCGGATTGAACGGATTAGCAGATTGGCGGGTGGATACGAATCGGTTTGGCGGTTTAAAATTTTACAAATTTTCAACATAATTTAACAACGCACTTCCTCAACATAATTCAACAAAATTTCAATTTAATTCAACATAATTTATATTGTGCACACAGTATAAATTTTAGATTTTTTTGGAGTCATACACAGTATAAATCATATACACATTATACTGTCTATATTATATTGTGCACACAGTATATGTAGCACCACAAAAAACCTCCTACAATCATAAATCTGTCTAAGAAGCATTACGACAAACACCTTAGCTACCAAAATTAGAAATTTACTTCCTAAAGCCCCCTTAT